CCCCCAGGCCGGGCGCCGTGGCGGCTCTTCACGCCCGGCTGCTCCCCCAGCCACCGGCAGCCGACGGCGCCGACAGGTAAGAGCAGCGCAGGAGACCAGCGTGAAATCCCTGGCGGGACGGGGGCCGAGCGATCCCCTGGCTGCAGCCCATTCCACATGGAAATGCAAGAGAAACTTCTCCTGGTGTTGCCCGTCATCGGGGCGAGCGGCTCCTGTCAGCGCGTGGCCCTGGGGCTGAACCCACTGGCTCCTTCTGTAACGTGGGAACAGGGAAACAGGCCCCTGCATGGCAGCAAATTACAGAGATGTCCCCAAACCGATCCCAAACAGTGCAGTAGAGCACATGGGAATTCCCGAGTGGGGCTCCATGGATTTGCTATGGGATCGCAGCTCCTGCGCTGTGTTGTCCCATCACACTTAATAACTGCAGAGCGGTAACGCTGTGGATGATGTGTGTTTGTTTCTAGCCCTGCTCCTCTGCCACAGAAAAGCTCAGCTATCGTCCAGAAAAAATCCTACGCCCCTGCTAGCAAGGGCGAGTATATTGTCACCAAACTCGATGACCTCATCAACTGGGCGCGAAGAGTAAGTCCCTGAAACCGGCCTGGGCACGGAGAGGAAACGGTATCCGGTGCTGAGGTGCTCCTGGGGGATGGATACGGACCTCTTCCTCCCAAGGATAAAAATAGGTTCAACCCTCTTCGCGTTTTGCAGCAAAAAAGTGTCTTGGCCAGAGGTTGACGTGAGAGAGAAATGCTCAGTTCATCTGCCCTATGAGGAGAGGCTGAGGGAGCTGGGCCTGTTCAGCTGGAGAAGAGAAGGCTGAGAGGGGACCTGAGCAGTGTCTAGAAGTACCTCAAGGGAGGCAGTGAGGAGGATGGTGCTGGCCTCTTTTCACTGGTGGCCACCGACACAACTAGAGGAAACGGCCCCAAACTGAAACACCAAAAGCTCCACAGGAACTTAAGGAAAAATGTTTTAACAGTGAGGGTGCCAGAGCACTGGAACAGGCTGCCCAGAGAGGTTGTGGAGTCTCCTTCTCTGGAGATCTTCAACGCCGCTTGGACGCAGCCCTGTGCCACGTGCTCTAGGTGACCCTGCGTGTGCAGGGGGTTGGACTAGATGATCCCTAGAGGTCCCTTCCGACCTTAACGATTCCGTGATTCTATGATTCTAACGCAGGTCTTTCCCGCTGCAGAGCTCCCTGTGGCCCATGACGTTCGGCCTGGCGTGCTGCGCCGTGGAAATGATGCACGTGGCAGCTCCTCGCTACGACATGGACCGGTTCGGCGTGGTGTTCCGCGCCAGCCCCCGGCAGGCCGATGTCATGATCGTGGCCGGCACGCTGACAAACAAAATGGCCCCGGCCCTTCGGAAGGTAGGGGCTGGGCGGGGGGCTCGAGCGCGGCCGCGCGGAGCGGCGCGGGGGGAAGGCGAGTTGGAACGTCTGCTCTGCAGGTCTTCGACCAGATGCCTGAACCTCGCTACGTGATCTCCATGGGAAGGTAAGTGCCAGGACCTCCCTCTCCACGGGAGAAAACTGGTGTCGCTGCTTGAGGATGGAGATGGAGGGCGGGGACCCCATTTCCTATTTGTGTTTTCAACTCCTTAAATTATATAAAGGGGCCTTCTTCTAATTAAGATAGAGATTCCCCTCTGATTAGACTGAGGTGGATACAAGAATGTCTGCCATGTTAGTGCTCTTCAGACTAAATCCTTCCCAATAAAAGATGCTGGTTTTTTTGCAGCTGCCAGAGTATAGACAAGCAAATATTCCCAGAATCTCAGGATTTGCATTTTGGCCTTCAGTTCATTTGTTACTGTAAAATCTTTAACTACCATGTGGCTTCTTTTCTCATCATATCTTGGATGTTGGGTTAATGTTTCCTTTGGCTCCTGCTAATCTTTCACCCCAGGCTGCTGAGCTGCATTTAAATGCAGCTGTACTGCAATGTCTGTCTGTCTGTCTGCAAGAAACTGTCTGTGTCTTGCAGCTGCGCCAACGGCGGGGGTTACTACCACTACTCGTACTCCGTGGTGCGGGGATGCGACCGCATTGTACCCGTGGACATCTACGTGCCAGGTATCACAGAGGACTCCTGGTGCCACGACACTAACTGGGGCAGAGCGGGAGCAAAGTCGCTTTGTGTGTTTGGACGGTAGCTCTGAGAAGCAGAGGGACAACATGAGCTGCTTGTCCATGTCCTGCCCTCCCCACCCCAAACATGGGGTTAGGGTGCAGGAGCTGCAAAGCAGAACCTCCTGGTTGAGTGAATTAGCAGACAGATTTGGTCCTGCTTGGCGTAGTTTTTAGAGATCCTTGTTGCTTCAAACTGTGTTGCTTAAATTGCAGATGTTTCAGTAAGTTCTGCCTGAGGTTTCTGGTAAGCAAGTTCTTTTAGTGATATTGGTAGCTGTTGTATTTAGTGTAGGGCTATAGTTTAGTCACCAGAGACACTTTTCCTGTCTCCAGCGGGGTATCATCCTGCTGCAAAAAAAAGTATTTCTATGGTTTATAAAAACCTTTTCAAAAAACAAAACTGTCACTACAACATCTTTAAAACCATAGCCCTCTTATGAACTCTCACAGCCCGCTTTGGGTTAAAATCCATTATTTATCAGTTCTGCTCCTGGTGACCACGATTCAGTACAGCTGGCAGCCTTACAGGCTCCTTTTTTCTCTTGTTTCCTCTTAGGTTGCCCACCTACTGCTGAAGCTTTGTTATACGGCATCCTGCAGCTTCAAAAGAAGATTAAGCGAGAGAAGAAGATTCAGATGTGGTACAGAAAATAGCGACTTATTTATGACCTGCTCACGGACTGTCCACGTGGGGCACCTGCTTGTCGTCTTACGCACAATAAATCTGTATTCTTCACAAGCCTTCCAATAAAACTCTATCTGTTTAAGATGCTCTTCTGTTTTTAATATATTAGGTAAGGTAACTAAAGAAGTGTTTTAACTTCTTCTGTAAAGATTCAATGATTAAAAACAAGAATAACACTAATAGTTATTCTGTAGAATCCACAGTACGCTGTTTTTAATATATTAGGTAAGGTAACAAAAGAAGTGTTTTAACTTCTTTACTAAAGATTTAATGATTAAAATCAAGAATAACACTAATAGTTATTCTGTGGAATCCACAGTACAGTAGGAACAAACCAGCTTGGCACAGGCTGCGTCACAGGCTGGTGTTTGGTGCTCTGCACTGCCCCGGACAAGGAACAGCTGCTGCAGAACCACGTGCGCTTTGGAAGGCAGAAAGGAACGGCACAGAAATAGCAGCTGTGTATTTCATTGCATTTTAATGACATTTTCTCTCTCCTGGGCACAGAAGGGAAACATCATCCATACACTATTAGACTGCAAGAAGGTCATCAAAATTAGAAAATGTTAAATTGGGCAATTAAAATTAAATTGTTTAACTGATGCAGAGGGAGACGAGCACGAGGTGTGAGGGTTCTGCTGGGTCAGCCAGGGGGGCTTCGGGGCCTCTCCTTCAGGACAGGCCTTTCCCAAAACGGTGCCATCGTTTCCAGACGGTCCCTGTGACCGAGGGGGACGTGCAGCGGCCGGGGGGCTCCGGTAGAGGAGCAGGGAGCCCCGGGGCTGCAGCACTGCCCCGTTTGGGGGACTCCTCGAGCTCGGGAGGGCCCCTCAGCCCCTCTCCCTGGCACTGGATAAACCGCTTTGAATCTTCTCTCGGCACCATGAGGGAAGCGGGAGCGTTTTCTCCCCAGGGCCGTGTAAAGGATTTGCTGCCCGCGCCGGCGTCTCCCCGCAGCCTCGGCCAGGCTCAGTGCTTCACGATGGAGGGCGTGATCATCTTGTGGAAGGAGTAGTACCTGCAGTCCTGCGGCGGCACCAGCTCCATCACGGCCGTGCTGATGTTCTCCCTCCTGAAGCCGGCCTCGCGCAGCCGCGGCACCTGC